GTACACTTTTTTCTACATAGACCCCTTCTGCCCAATATTCTGCCCACATAACTCCCAGCTGTCTTGGGCCTTCCCACGTTGGATCACTGTCTCTGGAGCTCAGCAATTCTGTCATATTTGCTTGCTTGCACTACCTATAACTACCCACCTCTTCCCAAACTCATACAATTCACATGTCTAAAAAGAAAACCAGAGTGACTGATTATAGGCTTAACCTCATCTGTTTCCCTTTTCTCCACGATCACAATTTTATTCTATCTGTTGTTCACTGTCTTCAAATAACTGAGATTAAGTCTAGTCATAGTTACTCCATGATGGCTAAAATTGAAAAGTGGGCCAGAGTGGCCTGGTGTTTAAGGATGGCAGACTACATTTAAGGCTCAGACCCGGCAACTTGAAAAACACACTTGGTACGTGTGCATGCATACCTAAAATCCCAAGAGGAAAATGAAAGAGAAGGGACTGCAGTGTGGCCACCCCCAGAGGGTGTTCTCTCTCTCAAGAGAGCACACACCTGTAAAAAACTTCAAAAAGAAGAAGTAAGAATGAATGAAAGATTGGTTATTACCCAACACTGGTTTAATTCTGAACTATTTCAATGGAATCGGGAAATTAATTTTAAGGTTTTTGTCATAGGACACATGCGTTCACCAGAGAGACAGAGACAATGAGAGGGAAAGTGAGAAATCACCCTTCCGGGGCGGGGGTGGGCAGTCATGCCGTAATCCCTTCTTCTCCATTCTCCATCCAGGATTTTGGACACATAGACACATGCACATGTTATGAGCTTCAAACTGCCAGGTCCATGACTCTAACTGTGGTTGGTCATGTGGGAATGTGGCACCTTTTAACCACCATGCCACCTACTGGTTCCCAAAAGAAGGCTTTTAGGATGTCACTTTATCTAAAGTAAAAAATCTGAAACTAATGAAACTTTATATTAAAAGTTCAAAACTAGGGACCAGCAGGTGGTGTGGTGGTTTAAATGCTGGACATTCCCACATGGCTGACCACAGTTTGAGTCCCAGACCTGGTGACTTGTTTTCTCACATTCCCTCTCTCTCTCTCCCTATCTCTCTCTGGACAAATTAAAGAAAAAAAAAAAGAATAAACAAAATTCAATAAATAATTATAAAAACAAAAAGTTCAAAACTAAGAAGTTTTATTGAAATAAAGATACAGATATAAATTTATGTGCAACACGAAGTCACAATGAAAATATTTTTCTTGGGCCAGCAAGGTAGTGAACAAAGCTGGATTCTATGTGACCTACTGTGTGGCTCTAGTCCCATACGTGGTGGGTTGAAAAATATGCCAGGTGGCAACCGCAGGTAGCACGCTGGTTAAAGTGCTAAACTCCCACATGGTCAATCACAAGTCAAGTCCCAGACCTGGAAGATTGAAAACCACAATGGTCATGTATGCATACGTACCTAAAAGCCCAGGAGGAGAGAAGAAAAGGGATTGTGAAGTGACCATCCCCACTACGAAGTGACTTCTCATTTTTGCTTTCATTGCCCCCCCCCACACACACACCTTTCTCTTTCTTTGGTAAGTGCACATGCCCTTTGACAGAAAACTTAAAAAATAAATTAAGTAAATAAAAAGAAAAATGGAATAGTATCTTCAAAGTGCAGAGGGGAAAAAAGCCTGTCAGCCTGGAACTCTAAATAGCTAACTATCACTCAAGAGTGATGATGTAGTAATAAAAAAAATAGATTAAAAAAAAAGAGCGATGATGAAATGAACATTTTCTGTCAAAATCTAAGAGAGGTGACTATTTCATAGTTTTTATACTGAAAGTGGATATGCTTTAGAAAGAGGCACAGTGAACCTAGAATGCAATGAGATAAATATAAAATTCAAAACATAAAAACAAAACTGCGACTTCTAGCTAAGCTGACATCTGATATATCTTCCTTTTCCTAAGTAATCATCCAGATTAAGTCTTTCTTATCATCTATTTTAGTAATGTACAACCATAACAGAACAAAGACACTTGAAGTCTTAAAATAGAAACAAACATATAAGCCTCATCCTAGATGTACAGTGACTCCGGGGTATAAGAGCAGAAAAGTTTTAAAAGGCTGTCAGACAAAAAAGAAAATTTAAGTTGAGGACCTTCAGATTCGAAGTCTTTGCTTCATCTAGTAGTTCTTAAAGTTCCTCAAATGGGAGCATAAGCGTTACAGAAACTTGTAGAAATGCACATTTTGGTCCCCTCAGTAAATGTGCTTTAACCAGCACTCCAGTGACTCTGATGTAAAAAGTTGAGAAATCTACTTTAGTCTCATGTCCATATAGTAAACTGTTTACACTTTCACATGAACATATCTGCTGCATTCCATCTACAAGTTCCCTTCACTAAGTCCTTTAGAACTACATATCATGGTTGTCCAATTCCCATGCACTCTTAATCTCATCACTGAATTTTTTTCATCTTTTTTGCATTAACTGAGCCTGGCCCACTTGTCTTTTCTTTTTGTAGAGGTTTTTGCTATAGAGCGCATGTGCTCGCCAGAGAGACAGAAAGTGAGAAATCACCCCCCAGGGGGTATGGGCATGCCGCAATCCCTTCTCCTCCATTCTCCTCTTGGGATCTTGGGCACGTATGCACACGCACCCAGCATAAGTTTAAGGCACCAGGTCCGAGACTCGAACCACGGTCCACTACATGGGAGTCCAGCAACACAGCCATTACGTCAACTGCGGGTCCCGACTCGTCTTTTTAAAAATTACTTTTATTTCTTCTTATTATTTTTTAATCTGTCCAGAGAAGGACAGAGAGAGAGAGATGGAAGGTGAGAAAAGCAAGCCACCAGGTCTTGGATTCAAATTGTGGTTGGCCATGGGGGAGACCAGCACCTTAAACACCACGCCACCCACCAGTCACCTCCACTTGTCTTCAAGAGTCCTCACATGGTGTCTGCTTACTCTCTCCCAAACACCATGTAAGCTCATGGTCTGGAGAGGGAGGTCCACTTACCCCCAAACTTCCTGTATCTCCATAATCATTTAGATAAAAATCCCACAGACTTTTGGGGCCCACATAGTCGACTGCGGTTCGAGTCCTGGACCCTGTGGCTTAAATCTCACACCAGGCCCATGTGCGTGCGTGTCCAAGATCCTGAGAGGAGAATGGAGGAGAAGGGATTGCGGCGTAGTCATCCCCTCCCCGGGGGTGATTTCTCACTTTCTGTCTCTCTGTCTCTGTCTGTCTGGCGAGCGCATGCGCCCTATAGCAAAAACCTCTCCAAAAAAAAAAAATCCCACAGACTCTGAACACTTCAGTTGTCAACCAGGTGTGATTATCACCAAATTACTACCTTCTCTCGTGATACTGAGATCAAACCCACTTCCTATCTGACATTTCTGTTCACACAGTCCATAGACCCTCCAACTCGAATCTGAACCTGCTGTGTTGCCCAACTCTATTCTCTCTATATTCTCTAACGGAGATGAATACCACCACCATTCATCTATCCCATTATCCAAGTCTCAAATCTGGAATCACTGATGGAATCCCTTATTCAAACATTCAATCGATTACTGTCAATTTTATTTTTTGTTAAGTTCTCCAATTCTCTCCATAATGACTGTCACTCAATAATGAAAGTTACGGGACCAGCAGTTAGCGTAATGGCTATGTCACTGAACTCCCATGTAGTCGACCGCGGTTCGCGTCCCGGACCCGGTGGCTTAAAACTCACACCGAGCACGTGTGCATGTGTGCCCAAGATCGCGAGAATGGAGGAAAAGGGATTATGGTGTGCCGTCCCCCCTGGGGAGTGATTTCTCGCTTTCTGTCTGTCTCTGTCTGGAGAGCATATGCACCCTATAGCAAAAACCTCTCCAAAAACAATAATAATAATAATAATAATGAAAGTTACAACATTAGCTTCTTTTTCTTTCTTTTTTTTTTAAACTGGGATTACGGCAATAGCTTCTTCTGTTTTTTCCTTTAAGGTTGTTGCCATAGGGCACATACATTTGCCAGAGACAGTGAAAGGGAAGATGAGAAATCACCTCCCAGGGAAGACGGCCATGCTACAATCACTTAGCGTTTCAAGTCACTGAGTCTGGGACTCAAACTAGTCATCCATGTATGACTCTCCAATATTACACTCCTCCAAGTTATTTTACAGCCCCAAAATTTGAAGGTACAATACATTATGGTATTTCAGTTATATGTCAACTTTCAAAAATCATATGGTAACATAGTTTGAAAACTTTTTCCTTAAATTCCATTATCGGGGCCGGCAGGTGGCATAGTGGTTAAGGGCAGAGGGCTCCCACATGGTCAACTACGGTTCCAGACCCAGACCTGATGGCTTACTTTATCACTTTCTCCCCCACCCCCCTCTGTCCCTCTCTGGTCAAATTAAAATAATAAATAAAGTTAAATAAAATAATTATTTTTTAAAAAATTCCATCACCAATCAACACAAGTTTTACTCTTTGACTCACTAGTTCTAGGCCAGTAACTTTCTGACAGTACTTTGTCACTACTATGTAACACAAAGAACATAAATAGATCAAAAAAAGAATCACTGAATTATATGTAAATGAATCCTTAACTTAAAAACTCTTTAAAAGAGTTGTGGAACCAGCGGATGGCGAAGTTATTCTGTCGCTGGACTCACACATAGTTGACTGCAGTCTGAGTGTCAGACCCAGTAGCTTAAAATTCACACTGGACATGTGTATGTGTACATCCCCAAAATCCAGAGAGAACGGATTGCGGTGTGGCCATCTTCCCTAGGGGATGACTTCTTACTTTCTGTCTCTCTGTCCCTTCAGTGAACGAAAGTGTACTCTAGCAAAAATCTCTCTCAAAAAAAAAAAAAACTTAAAGAGTTGTAACTGATAATTTACTGCAATAAATTTCAGGGTTTTGTCATAAAAAATAGTACTTCAACATGTATTTATTTATAAGATGACCAAAATAAGAACACTGCTAAAAAATGTTTTGAAACCCGCAGTAAAAAATTTAAACTCACCATACACACCTGTAGAAGTAGAACTGTTCATGGTAAAGGGCCCGTTATTGATGCCAGAAGAAAGAAGCTCATCAGATCCCCGCTGAAAAGCAAAACCAATGTTTAGTTTGTAAAACATGCTTCAGATAATCATTCCTACGTACTGATTTGTCTTTCCTACTAAAAGTATTAGAAGATAATTACTATGCCATCAACTTAGTATGACAACATTTAAGGGCGAAGTCCTTAAAAATCACAAAATCTAAACGTTACGAGTGAACTGCATACTAAAAGAACATTACCCCACCTCTATATAATTTTTAATTAAAAAAACAAAATTGTCATCATAGATATGGGGGCATACTCTCCCAACCCTTTGTGAGGAAACCCAGTTCTCCTAGACATTATGTTCGAAGTATCAATCTGTATTTAGGAGACTGTATTCTGACACTGACTTTGCAGTATATTTTTATATGCAGATAATTTGTATAACCTTCTCTAGGAATCCTGATTTTTTTTTTCCTTCCTTTCTTTCTTTCTTTTTTTTTTTTTTTAATAGATTTTTTATAATCCTGATTTTTTTTTTCCTTCCTTTCTTTCTTTCTTTTTTTTTTTTTAAATAGATTTTTGATATAGGGCACGTGGGCATGCCAGAGAAGCAAGATAAAGACAAAGAGAAAGAGAGAAATCACCCCCCAAGGGGATGGCCACACCAGAATCCCTTTGCCATTCTCTCGAGATTTTAGTCACGCATGCACATGTGCCCATAGGGAGTTTGAAGCCATTGGGTCTGGAACTTGAACAGAGGTTGACTACATGGGAGTCTATCAACGTAACCATTACGCCATCAGCTCATACCAGAATCCTGACTTTCAATACTTAAGTGTTTTTATGATAGAACATAAAGATACAATTTATTTCTATAGTGGCTAAACTCTGTAATCTTTTTAATCTATTAATGTTCAAAATTATATTCACTGTAAACTTTTATTTTTTAAGCTTTTTTGCCATAAGGCATGTGCACTCCCTGGAGTGACAGAGAGGAAAAGTGAGAAATCACCTCCCAGGGGGAATGGCTATGCTGCAATCCCTTCTCCATTTTCCTTTTGGGATTCTGGGAATGCACACACGTGTCCAGCTTGATTTTCAAGCCACGGGGTCTGAGATTCAACCTGTATGTAGTCTGCCATATGGGAGTTCAGCACCTTAACCACTACTGTCACCTGCTGGGTCCTTTTTTTATTTTTTAATTGCTAAAGGCACTTGAACTTGAGAAAGAGAGATAATGAGACAGAGAAGGAGAAAGCATGCCCCTCAGTGGGGGTATGGTCATGGCGCAATTCCTTCTTCTCCATTTCTCAATCTTTTTTTGATTTGGGGCATGAGTGCACACACACTTGGCATGTTTTGCAAGGATTGTGGCATGGAGACTGTTGTGGATGTACCTACTTCCCATTTTTTTAATCTCTCTTCCTCCACTCCTATCCCTCCCTCTCTCTTCTCCTTTCTCTTATTCTACGGGAATAAACTTAAAAATTAACAGAGACCAGCAGTTAGTGTAATGGCTATGCTGCTGGACTCCCACGTAGTCGACCACGGTTTGAGTCCCGGACTGGATGGCTTAAAACTCACACCAGGCCCGTGTGAGTGCGTGCCCAAGATCCCGAGAGGAGAATGGAGGAGAAGGGATTGCGGTGTGACCACCCCCCCTGGGGGGTGATTTCTCGCTTTCTGTCTCTATGTCTGTCTGTCTGTCTGGCGCATGCGCCCTATAGCAAAAACCACTCCAAAAAAAAAAAAAGAACAAACAAACATACAAACAAAAAACAAGAATACTGACAATATCAGGTTTTGGTGAGAACATGGAACAAAAAACTATACACAGGAAGTTAAATTAGTGCCATTTAATGAGAGTATAAATTAGTACAACTTGGAAAACTGACCCTACCTGCTACTAGAACTGAACATATTAATATTCTAGTATACCTGTATATTCTTTTTTATTTTTTAAAGAGTTTTTTTTCTGTAGGGTGCATGCACATACTAGAAAGGCATAGACAGAGACAGGAAGTGAGAAATCACCCCCCAGGGGTGATGGCCATACCAAAATCCTTTCTCCTCCATTCTTCTCTCAGAATCTTGGGTATGGACGCAAAGGCACCCGGTATGAGTTTTAAGCTGCCAGGTCCAGGACTCAAACCGTGGTCGACTTTCTGGGAGTCCAGCAATGTAACCATCATACCAACTGCTGGTCCCCACCTGTATATTCTAGTATGCATACAACCAAGAGACTGCCTGCTTATGTACACTTAGACATATGAGAATATTCTCAGCAATATTATCTGCACTAGCCAAACTAGAAACAAGCAAATATCATCAACTACAGAGGGAAATTACAAAATTTTTGTAAATGCCTATCATTATTCATTATACAGCAATGAGAATGAACTACTGTCCACACAGTAAGAGAGATGAAACACACAAACAAGGAAATCAGTCAAAATAAATACTATATCACTGCTTTTATTTAGTGTTCGAAAAACAGTCACACTTCACAATTGGCCTAATTTCACATAAATGACAGTAAATGTAATTAAAACTGTGACCACCAGATGGCACAGTGGTTATATCGTTGGACTCTCACACAGTCAACTGTGGTTCAAGCCCTGGGCCTAGACAGCTTAAAACTCATGCCAGGCACGTGTGTGTGCTGAAGATCCCAAGACAAGGGATTGCAGCGTGGCCACCCCTTCCCCCAGGGGATGATTTCTCACTTTGTCTCTGCTACTGTCTCTCACGTGCGAGTACCCATGCCCTATAGCAAAAATCTCACTTAAGAAAAACATCATAATAACAGTAAATGTAATAAAACTATTCACTGTTTGCCTTGTTTTTGTAAACTTTATTCTTAACCTCTGAATTATAATTGGTACTTCTAGCTATAAAAAAAAACTCTTCAGTCTCAAAATGCAATCATATTCACATGTATAGAAAAAAACAGAAAATCATTTTTAGGTTTTTACTATAAGGCTCAGGTCCTCGCAAGAGAGACAGAGAGATAATAGAGAGGTAAAGCAAGAAATCATTACCCAGAGGGATGATCATGCTGCAATCCGTTCTCCTACTCTTTTCCTGGGATTCTGGGCGCACACACACTCACACCCAGCATGATTTTCAAGCCACTGAGTCTGGGATGCAAATCAGTCAGTCATGAAGCAGTCCAGGACCTTAACCACCACACCGCCTCTGGCCCCAGAAAATCAAATTTATACACCTTAATGCGACATCTTAACTATTGCATTCAAGATATCCATACAAGGGACCAACAGATGGTGTAATAGCTATGTCACTGAACTCCCACGTAGTCAACTGTGGTTCGAGTCCTAGACCCAAAGACTTAAGATTCATGCTGGGCATCTGCTGGTCCCTTGTACGGATATCTTGAATACAACAGTTAAGATGTTGCATTAAGATGTATAAATCTGATTTTCTGGGGCCAGCAGGTGGCATGGTGGTTTAACACAGCTGAACTCCCAAACAGCCAATGGCAGCGGGAGTACAGAATCTGGTGGCTTGAAAATCACACCGGGCACATGCACTTCCATGTGCATGCTCAAAATCCCCAGAAGGAGAAAGGAGGATAAGGGCCTACAACATGGCCATCCCCTCTGGGTGGTGATTTCTCCCTCCTCCTCTTACTGTCTCTCTCTCTGGCTAGCTCATGTGCCCTAAGACAAAATTCTTAAAACAAAAACTAAAATAATGGCACCATAAAGGAAATCCTAGCCCATCATATGAAGTGTTGGAATACCTATATAGGTTTTTTTGGGGAGAAGAGGTTTTTGCTATAGGGTGCATGCGCTCGCCAGAAGAGAGACAAAAAGCAAGAAATCACACACACAGCCCCAGAGGGGATGGCCACACCGCAATCCCTTCTCCTCCATTCTCCTCTTCGGACCTTGGGCATGCACGCAAACGCACCCACCATGAGTTTTAAGCCACCGGGTCCAGGACTCAAACCACGGTTGACTACTTGGGAGTCCAGTGACATAGCCATTATACCAACTGCTGGTCCCTAAAGAGCTATATGTAATCCCCTATTTAAAAAACAAGGATAGGGCCAGCAGGTGCCATGGAGTGGGTTAAGGCAGCTAGATCCCACGTGGCCAACTGTGTGGTTTGAGTCTTGGACCTGACCACTCGAAAGCAATGCCAGCACATGTGTGTGGGTGCCCAAAATCTTATGAGAATGGATCTTGGCATGGCCATTCAAGGGGTTGGGGACTGTGGGTGGGATGATCTCTCTGGTGAGAGAGAAACAATGAAGACAACTTTAAAATAACATCTTTAAGTTTCATATCTGAACATTGTTTTATGTGGGTTATACCACTCATCATATAAATAAGACATATCTCAAATAATTATGATACTTGAAAAAACTTTCATTATTCCCCCTAATAACTTCAGAATGTGGTAAACAAAAGACAAAGAACAAAAGGAACTCACATTTTTAGTCATGAAAAATTATTCTGATAACTACGATTTATTGGCCAAGCCTTTTCCCCAAGAAATCATTTTCAAATGAAAGAAAACAATGACTTTTTTGATAATATGAAAGCTTAAATTCCCAGTCATATTACTATGTAAAACTTTGTAAAAGATGAGGAAAACAGTTCTGTATTACTTTAAGCACTCCATTTAAAAAATCAAACCATTTCTTTCCTAGACATAAATTCTTCCTTCTGAAAACATATCATTGCATGTAATTACAGACTACTTCAGCACAAAATTAAAAATTTCTACAAAGTATGGGACCAGCAGTTAGCGTAATGGCTATGTCGCTGGACTCCCATGTGGTCGACCGCGGTTCGCGTCCCAGACCTGGTGGCTTAAACTCACACCAGGCGCGTGTGCGTGCGTGCCCAAGATCCCTAGAGGAGAACGGAAGAGAAGGGATTGTGGCATGGCCACCCCCCCGGGGGGTGATTTCTCACTTTCTGTCTCTATGTCTCTGTCTGTCTGGCGAGCACACACACCCTATAGCAAAAAAAAAAA